ATGGATGGATGGATGGATGGATGGATGGATGGATGGATGGATGGATGATGGATGGATGATTGATGGATGATGGATGATGACAGATACAGTCTCATGTCTGGTTGAGTTAATTACTTTCCAGTAAAACCCACATATTTTCATCATCCACATCCCGTCTGTTTATCTTGTTTAAAATGTAATTTTAAACTCTGAAATATATTTTTAAAGATTTAATTTTATTTTAAACTCTAAAGTAACATCTTAAACTCTTAGAGCTTAAAATGTGACCTTAGAGTTTTCAAATTAAACTAAGAGCTGTGAACCTTTTCATTTTCTTCACTGCTCTTTAACACACGCTGTCTTTTTGTAAACATTCTGTTTGTTGTGCGCCACGTAAAGATGGCCGACTGCTGACCTCGACCTCCGAGTCGTCCTCCGGCCTCTAACGGCGCAAAGACCGAGTTTCTCCGTGAGCCACTTGCTTCGCCTCATCTGTGACACAATTTGGGCAGCGAGAGCAAAAGCAAAGATTTGGGTGCTTTGAAATGTTTGATAAGGAGCACTTTGTGCTTCTCTTGTTTTTAATCACCTGCGCTCTCCAGACCTCCTACACCCTTCTTCACGATCAGATACCGGGCCCACGGGGCTGCTGTGTGATCCGAGGAATTAATCTGCTAAAGCCTGATTGCCATTACCGCCATGCGATTATGCACCTTGATTACCGAGCCCACCCCACAAGGACCATGACGCACCCGGGTGCACATTTCAAAGGTGCGCATAAAATTATGCGGTGATTAGCCTACAATGGATCAATCCACATGCCAACGAGACTGTGGAGCCATATAGACTGTCTCAAGTAGGACTGTGATTATTAATGGGCACTTGAGGTGACCTGATACCTGAAGCTTGAAGCACTAAACCTGCCACGATCCTGTTTTTCAGACATTCTGAAAGACATTATTGGATTATTGTTGTAGAGCCAGGACTGTTTGGAGTTCAAGCGTGCATAAAAAGAACGCCGGGCTCTTCACAGGCAGCCCGAGCTGCACTCATCTGTCTTCAGGTGGACTTCAGACGTGTAACTGCAGCTTCGTTCTGGACGGCCTTGACTTCGAGGAGGACAATGTGCTTTAGTTAGCCGCAGCTTTTATTTGCGATAAGAAGCAAGGTGGAAACATAAATTTAGAAGTCACCTCCAGAGTTTAGCATCATCTTAAAGGAAAAGCCTTCGTAGTGAACGTACTCGGGCAGAACTCTTCTCCCGATGGAGTCCTGAACGAACCAAAGACAGCACTTGATTGAGGCGGTGAAGAAGTGAACCTGCGTCTGGGTTTCTTCCTGCTTACGTATGAAATCAGTCAGTCACCCCGTCACAACAGTCATACTGTTAACATATTTGCATTAGTAATGCCTTGGCAAGGATTTAATGGCTTTCATTTGCCACCATTTGCAGCGATTCTCAGGGAGCATGGTTCTCACTGCTCGACCTGGAAATCACTTAATGGCTTCAGGTATTTTGCATAAGAGAAACAAAAACCCATTAATGTCACTCAGTAGGAACAAAAAAGCAATGATGTATGTCTTTTGTTTCCATCAAGCCTTTTGTTCCGAACATTTTCAGTCCGGCTGAAAACCTATGTTGTAGGTACACCGAGGACCGTTCTCTCTATGCAAATGTGAATTTGAGCTCACAAATCCACAATTGCAGAAATTCCATCAGTGGCCAGAGTTCAATGACTCTCCAGTCTTCAAGTGTGTGGATAATGGTCACTGCAGCTACACATCACAGCAGTCCAAAAGCCTCATCTTGTCCCATCGCTATGCTGGCAAACAGAATAACAGAGTCTGAGCGCGCCTTGCTGCTCACAGCTCCCTGCCGTTGCAGGAGCAGATGAATGATGGACAGGAGAAGATGGCGACGTACTATTCACGGTGCGCCATGTGGCAGCTTGTATGTTCACACTGGTACAGTGTGTTTGTGAGCTACAGGACAGCTCAGACACTTACGCACTGCAGCCTGAGTCATGGACACATGCATGTCCTACGTAGCACCGTGGAGACCCATACATGCCTGCACGATGTGCACGGGCAGACTGGGAGGTCTTGGCATCCTACAAAAATATGCACTCAACAGAACGCAGCGATCAGAACCCCCGGCTCTGACTCTTCCTCTTAAAGCTCTTCCATTTGGAGCTAAGAACAAAGCTTGGTGAAGCAAAACGCTTCGCACTGATCAGTAAAACTGCTTCAATGTGTGAGACAGCGTTCATCACCCATATCGTTTCCTTCTCCTGCTAGTTCACATGTTCAGGTGTCGAAAGCTTCAGCTCATGCAGGAGATGCGGGCGCGAGCATTTCTGCTTTCTGTAACTACTTTACCAAAATTTACCTTTTTTTTTTTTTTTTTATTCATTCAACCTTTATTTAGACAGGTTAGTCTCATTGAGCCTCGGGGACTCATTTACAAGAGAGACCTGAAAAATTTCCAAACGTTTTTTTTTTCCAAAGAAGCACGTAGTCTTGATCAAGACGTCGTTCTTGTTTTTCAATTCTGCTTCAGTGTTCGTTCTCTGTTGTTGTCTTCTGCTTCTTTCAGCAAGGTTTTGTTTTTGATACTTTTATCTAATGTTTTTCTACTTTTGTATTTTAGCTGGCAATAAGCTTATTTTTAGCTGGTCTTTTACTTTTATCGTCTGGCTAGTGTTTAATCCTTTTGGCTAGCATTTTGTTAATTTCAGCGTTTTAGCAGGCTTTGGCTAGTTTTAGCATTTAGTTAGCCAATACTTTCAGCTCTTAGCATTTTTTTTCATGTTTAGCTTCTCACTAGCCCTTTGAAACATTTGCTACTTTTAGCTTTAAGCTGTAGCATTTAGCTTCTTTTTTTCATTCAACCTTTATTTAAACAGGTTAGTCTCAGTGAGTCACGAGGACTCATTCACAAGAGTTGTTTTGTGGAATGCTTTGCTTTGTTTAGCTTGCAGCCAGTGTTCAGCTTCTTTTTGCTTTAACTGCAGTTTCAGCTTCTTTAGCTGCATTACTTTCACAGAAAATGTATTTGTGATTGCATCAGGAAGCTGGTTTCTCTGAAGCCGAAGACCTTCAGTTGAGCTGCGTTACGGAGCACAAACCGTCATGTCTGATGTTGGGCCTACAGTCAGGAGGCAGGTGACCCGGTCCAGTATGTGAATTGTGGGGAAGGACACACTCACCACGGGGAGAAAAGAAAGAATAAGCTCAACAGCCTCCAGAAAATGTTGATTTTATTCATAAAGCTTTGATAAAAATAACAACATCAATATTCATGTATTGTAGAAAGGGTCGCTGTACAAAAGCCTTGCTTGAACAGTTAATATAACTTAAGGCGAGTTCAGTGACTCTGTTTCTTTTTTTGCAGCAGCCTGTCGGTGACAAGTTCACCAAACTCTCAACACCGTCCTCAAGATTTTTTGCTAAAGTGAACATTTCAGCACACAGTACCTCCAGCAGAAGAACAAACGGAGCAGAAGTCTAAAAGTCTGTCCTCTCCAAAGTGAGACGTAGAGAAAGTCGCAGCAATGTGTGCTACCTGATTACTCCAGAGCAATGTTTGTTCACCGTGCACATCCTGACAAACACTCTGTTGTTCAACAGAATGACGCAAACAAAACGCTTCTAATATCAAACATTCAAAGATTCTCTTGGTGAGCAACAGCCCTAAAAAATCCACACATTAAAAATGATTGAGAATACATTTCACCTCATAGAAAGGACGAATAGTCATATTAATAGTAATAGTTGTAAAATATACACTTATTCTATAAAAATACAAAGAAGTACAGCGATACAAATATATTTATTTGCCATTTATGATATATCTTTCACAACTGTAATAATTCAACCAATTGTTAACACAACACAAAGACCAAAAGGACAAAATAAAAACTGTGACAGTAAAATGGTGAGCTGAGCCTCACGTGACTTCATCTACATTCAACCCTTCACTGGGAAGGACCGGAGCTCACGGAGCTCCAAAGAAAACATAAACATGCATCTTAAATAAACGAGTCCAGTCGTTGCTCCACGCAGGTGGCTCGAAGCAGAGGATGAGGAGAGGAGCAACCGTCCTGCTCCTCGTGAGGAGGTGCTGAATGAGCAGCGAGTCATGCAAAGATCAAACGCCTCTGGGGGTGACACGAGCTGCAGAACCTCAGCCCGGAAGTCCAGCAGCAGGACCTGCACCTCACAGCCCCTCAGGAAGACTGAAGGGCCACGCGCCCGCCGCGCTCGCCTGCGGCTTCAGCTCCAGCTTCTCCTTCTGCTTCAGGTGCACGCGCCCGTGCCGCTTCCTTTCGTCGCTGCGCGCGAACCTCTTGCCGCACACGTCGCAGGAGAAGGGCTTCTCGCCCGTGTGAGTCCGGGTGTGCGTGGTGAGGTGGTCGCTGCGGCTGAAGCTGCGCAGGCAGATGCGGCACTGGAACGGCTTGTGGCCCGTGTGGATCCGGATGTGCCGGTTCAGCTCGTCCGAGCGCGAGAAGCGGCGCTCGCAGCTCTCCATGGGGCAGGAGAAGGGCTTCTCCTTGGCCGGGCCGTGGGAGGAGGAGGAGGAGGAGGCAGGGGTCTTCCTGGCCCGCGGGGGCTTCGTGGCGCGGGCGGTGAAGGTCTGTGGGAAGGAGGACTCGGGGAGGAGGGAGGAGTAGAGGATGGAGTCTATGGTGCTGGGTAAGGCCGTGTACAGAGGCTCGCACTGCTGTGGGGGGTCAGGGAAGGCTTTCAGGTTCACGGGTGGAGGTGGGGGGAGGTAGTTGTTATACAGTGGGGTGGAGTAGCTCTGGGAACAAGTGTCAGAGAAACAGGGCTCCTGCTTGATGCCCCCCTCCACCTTGAACTCCATCTCCGGGTGGGGGCAGATCGACGGGAACGAGTCCAGAAGCTCCTTAACGTCCATCTGCTGCTCGGGGGGGAAGTCGTTGGACATGGGGAAGGTCTCGGTCTGGAAGGTGGACTCCAAGCAGTCGGACTTGTTGCTGAAACCCCCCCACTCGTAGCAGCTGCTGTCGAACTCATTCTTCACCACCACCGGGAAGGACGCGGCCTCCGACTTGGGCTCGGCCTTCTTCAGAGCGCGGGGGGAGCCGAAGCCGAGCTGGGAGGTGGACGGGTCCTCCCGGGCCGGGTCCTCCGCGTACGCGGGGCACGGCTGGTCCGGGGAGTACCCGGGAGGATGGGGCCCGGAGCAGGTGTAAGGGGGGGCCCTCTTTGCGCCCTGGCTGCTGTCCAGCGGCTCTGGGTGGGGGGACGTGTACGTTCCCCGGCTGCTGCTGGTGCTGCTGGTACTGGTGCTGATGCTGGTGGAGCTGCTGTGCTGCGCCTCTGACAGCGGCAGCGTGGAGATGCCCACGATCTCCGTGATCATGTTGAGGAGCGTCTCGGTGCTGCAGGGCGCTCCCTGCGCCGCCTCCACGTAGAAGCTGCCGGAGTAGGCGAGCGACGAGGGGGGGTACGGCTCCTTCGGGCACTCGCAGGGGTTAAACGCAAATTCTGAGCTGGAAGCCTCGGTTTTTAGGGTTGCGGGGGCTCCTTCTGCATGAAAGCAAATACAAAACAAGGAGGACAACTTTATCCTGGTGCGCAACAGCCGCGCGCGTCACTCAAACACTCATGTCGCCTCACACGCGCTCATTTCAACTCAGCTCTCTGATTTTCTGACATGTCGGCAGCATCACGGCTGCAGGAACAACTCACCGTGGCCGAACTGGGCAGGTGCCCCCCGCTCCGCCGCCGCCTCCACGAACACCTCCTGGTTGTCCTTCCGCGCGCCGGTCTCCATCAGCAGGGAGGACGAGCTGCAGCTGTCAAACTGAGGGAAGAAGGAGTCTTTGGCGTTCACATCCATGTTGTTCAACATAATGATGGTCCGTCTCTCCCGCGGAGGAAGAAGACAAATAAAAAGGATGGGGGGAGGGGGAGGGTGATGCTTAGTCCAGTCAGTTTTGTTAATTTGCGTCAATGAACGATCCAAAGTGAAAAAGGAGTCTCAAAACGACAGATGAAGGTATAATCCTGTGGCTGTCCGCTCCTCTGGAGGTATTTGCTGCTGTAGATTTCAGAGACTCCCCCTTCCTCTCCTTTTATACACTTTGGAGGCTCCGCCGGCCCTCCTCCCCATTCATCAGCTCCGCTGAGAGGATTCCCCGCTGCGTGTAAACTTCATGCCCATATATGGACAGAGGATGTGACGGAGTCCCCCTGTCCCTCCCTCCAAGATCCTCCCTCTGAAGAACAGGGAGAGATGGAGTCTGATGCTGCAACAAGTGGTGGCCGTGCAGCTCTTGTCCACACAGAGCAGGAGAACCCAGGTTCCTGCAGGTCACCCCCCACCCCCCACCCCCACACCCCGGCCCACAGGTGGACTTGACTCAGCTGTTCAGATGCAGATTAACAAGCTTCTTCTGGACTCGAAACCAGTTGTTGGTGGTTTGGAGGACCAGAAGAGACCAGCTGTTCAAGTTCAAGTAGCTTTATTATCATCCACATCAACATGAGGTGGAACGAAATTGTGTACTCAAGGTCCCGTTTACACCCAACAATAACAAAAATATAAAGTATAAAAAGAAACAGTATACAAGGTTCTAAGATACACTGTATACGCTAAATGAATGCTAAACAATATGCTAAAATAATCTGAGATATATGCCAAACACTAATGATGTAGAATAATGTGGTATATTAAACAGCAGCCCGAACATGAGTCTGTGGTGAGTAGATGAGTATGAATACAGGATACTCCGCAGCACAGGTAAGTCACATATCCCCAATTAAAATGACATTACAGTCGTCCCTCGTTTATTGCGGGGAACCCTGAAGACCCGCGATAAGTGAAAAACCGCGAAGTTGTAATTCAGGGAATAGGATTGTGGAATTGCCTTGGTATTGCCATAAAAATTTCTAAAACAATTTATATGTTTCAAAAGATGATTAAGTTAAAATTGTTAGGAAAGTACGATGTGAAGAATGCCTGGTGTTTTTTGTTTTCGCTTTGGGAATTGTTCAAGCCTGTGTTGTTGTTTGTTGTTATTTTATATTTTTTTTTAAATAAGGGGCAGATATTAAAAAAAAATTCTTCTTTCTGCACTTTTCATTCAATGTTTTATTCTTTTTGACAAATTTATTTTGTTTCTTTTTTCTTTTAAATTA